GTCCTCAGTGCGGCAGTCCTTCATCATTGGGGACTTTCTGACCAATTTTTTCATGTCTGCTATCAATATATATGGATGCTTTTATTTTAAAGTGTTTGTCACTCGATATTTTTTTTTTCCCATGAGGTTGTCATGATATTTGGACTGAAATAATTTTTTTAAAATTTTACGCACACATGTTAAAATCTGAATTTGTTGCTAGGAAATTTCTTAAAGAATAACTCCGGCCAAATAGTCTTAACCCGTGCAGTGGGGATAAAACACACACACACACACACACACACACACACACACGCACACAGTTAAGTGCTCATTTTGCCTGGGATGTACTCACCCGAACCGCGATCCCAATCACTGAACCTGGAAGCGACGTGTAATCTATCAGTTCTCTTTCGGTTTCAGTGTTTCATTTCTCCGGTTGCTGTAGCCGGAGAAGAAGCTAATGAAGCCCGATCTTCCCTTTATCAGCTCCTTTTGAGGTCTGTAGGTGACATTAGGGGGCTAATAGACTTCTGATGTCTTCATAAAGAGGACCTGTCACTTCCTCTTTGGTGGCTTGTAAGCCCCCTGTGTGATAGCAATAAAGTTAAGTGTAAAAAAAAAAGATTAGAAAAAACACAATTTTGTCCCTCACCTCCATGTACACGCACATTAAAACTCAAACACGTGTTGGGCGACGGTTGCGCCATGTTGCATATCACCGCAAACGTTGGAGTAACAGAAATATTTCTAGGGCCATAAATCACCGTTGACAGTAAATTGATCAGCGATAAAGGCTTTGCCATTTCACGGGTGCATGCAATTTTAAGGCTTTGACGTTTTTGGTATCTGTTTACCCGACACAACCCCATCTTTTATATTTTACCATAAAATCGGGTATTGTTTTCTCTTTCTATGCACTAAAATTAATTGTAGTGTTCTTTTATCCTAAAAATATTGGTTTTATACAGGGCTGCACCTAATGATTATTTTCATAATCAATTAGTTGGCTTATAATTTTTTTCGATTAATCGGATAAAAAAAAAACATCCTTCATTTCGATGTGTGTTTGCATGTGTATGTAGGGGGTGGGGGACTTTAAACATTTTTTTTCTTTTTGTAACTTTAATTTTTTCAAACCTTTTTTTCCCCACTTAACTTTATTGCTATTACATAAGGGGCTAAAAATCCCCCTATGTGATAGCCAATTTGCAGTGACAGGTCCTCCTTTTATGGAGACATAAGGGGTCTTTAAGACCCATAATGTCACCTAGGAACCCCCCAGAGAAGCCGATGAAGCAGAGATCTGCCTCACCAGCTTCTCTCCGACTTCTGTACCGGGGAGTGACAGAGGAATGCAGGAAGTGATGTAATACACATCACTTCCTGCATTCCGAGGAGGAGGAGATCTGAGGGGGACCGTGTATTGATCTCAGTTTGATCTCCAGTCACAGAGCTGCTGTGCTGGTCCCGGGCTCACACCGGGCACAGCGGAGCTCGGGATGCAACGGAGGGGGCGCACACCCACACGCATATAACAAGCGATCGGGCGTCTCTACAGACGCCTGGACGCTTGTATGTAAACAGCCATCGCTGGCTGTTTACATTCCAAACCGATTTCCCGCTCTTGCGCGCCTCCTACCTGGGGACACGAGCTGGGCGGGGTGGGACATCTAAAAACGCCCACCTGCATCCAAGAAGCCGCTGTCCGGGCCATTTAATTACAACGGCTGGACAGCAGGTGGTTAAAATAAAATACGCAAATGCCGTGTTGCAAACATAAAAGTTTACTTCAGAATAAAACTGCATGCACAATATTTTGCAATTGCACTGCACTGGAACGCACAGCATTGCGGTATTGTGCGTTCCAGTGCAGGAGATCACACTGTGGGTGGTGCCATTGCAATGAATGGCACTGCAACGAACCTCCCACAGCAGAATTTGTCAGGCCGAAAACCAAAAATGACTTTTTCCCACCTTTTTTCTAATTCAGTTTTTAATAATTGTACTATAAGCACATGGCGCTGGAATAGTTTTAGCCTGAGAATGACAGCTGCCAGTGCCAAGATTCCGCAGACGGCAGCTGAATGTAAATACAGCAGGTAGTGGGCTGGTGCAATAGTCAGCCTGCTATTGGCCATTTCAAATTACGATAGCCGACTAGCTATTGCACCCGCCCACTGCTTGCTGTGCCCTCCTCCGAGCATGGAGGAGAGAGCTAGGGGAACCAACCAACTAATCCATAATGAGATTAATTGACAACTATTCCCAATATCGATCAAACGATTAGTTGGCTGCAGCCTCCAGTTTGATAAACATTTGCTCAAATATCGTGAGATAAAAAAAAAAGAAACTTGCATGTTTTTATTCTACAAGGCCTCTGCTTTCAGAAAATATATCATCGTTTGGGGGGGGATTTCTTTTAGACAGGAAGTGGGTAAAGATGACCTTCTACCTAGATTCCAAATGTAAATTTCTACCTAGATTAAAAGTGGATACAGCAATAAATATGAACACGTGACAGTTAAAAAATAAAAAGAGGAGAAGAGAGACTATAGATAGTGTGGGAGTACCACAGATCTAGAGAGTGCAGCAAAGCTATGACATTCTTTTCTGACTTCTTGTCAAGAAAAATAATGTTCTTCAGGGGCTCAAAACTCTTGTAGAGCCCATTTAATAGAGCCCTTACCTCCCAAGTCCTATAGAAGGTCATACAGGGAATCTGAGAATTCTCTACAGGAAGAGGCCTCTAGTTCAGGGACTGGTGAGCTATATGGAATATCTGATGGAAAAGTTACCATCTGGAACCTCTCAATGTAAGATGATTGTATGCGGCCTCCAGGAATGGACATATTATCTCTTTGATGCTTATGTGCTGTTCAAGCAGCAAAGTTTGCCATTTTTTTTATGTTCTGTTACAAATAATCAGGGCCGGTGCACACCTAGGCGACACCTCATCGCGTGGCAATCGCGCACGATTCAGCGCGGATTGTCGCGCGTTCAGGAGTCGCCGCGGTGTGAACCCATCGCGCTGTGGGTGCCATTATTTTTTAATGGCACCCCAGTCGCGCCAAGCGGATCGCGCGGTTTCCCGCCCGTGCTTCCGAACACGGCTAAAACAGCCGTACATCGCAAAAAAAAAAGGTACATGTACTTTTTCCGCTTGCCGCGCGGATGTCACCCCGTTGAAGTCAATGGGTCCACGTGGCAATCACTGCCTGCATTGTGCAGGACCACGCGATCCCGGCATCAAAGTCCACCAGAAGAAAATGAAGACAATGAGGGGAAGTTATCAAAACTTTGGGCCACTGTGCATGGCAACCAATCAGCTTCCTTCTTTCATTTTTAAAGCTTAACTGAACAAATTGAAGATGGAATCTGGTTGGTTACTATGGGCAACTGCTCCAGATTCTGTCTGCTCCAGTTTTGATAAATTCCCCCCCACTGTATTTGGAGGGGGAGGCGGGCAGCTGCGGTAGGGGGCGCTTAAAATAGAGGCTTGACCGGACTAGTCGCACATATGGAGGGAGCTTACCTTACCGGAATAAGGAGAGTATTACTCTTCCCTCTGCTCTTAGACTTGCCGAGCATGTAACCCATTGGGGTTGAGACTGCAATAGTGTAATTTTTCGTTGTGCCCGGATTGTCCCTTTAAAGCAGAACTCCAGGCATAAATTTGATTAACCCTTGTAGGGCTACCCTTACATTGCAAGAGTTAAAGTGACAATAAACTCAGGAATTAAACCTTAAAAATACATTCAAGTACAATAACTATTAAACAACAATATATCTTATTTGTGTATCACTCGGCTGTAGATCCTCAATCTCTGAATTGATGCTGACACTGTCCTTCCTTCTGGAGGGGGGCCACTTTTGTTCCCCATGGTCCCCGTGTGTGTTGTAGAGTAGTCCACCGCTCCAAGCTCACTCCTGTGATGGACTACAACCTCACGTTTAGTTTACTAATGTGTATTGGGATTGTAGTCCATCCACGGGGGTGAGGGGTAGCTCCACCTACGGGTTAAGAAAATGTGTAGGGAGTTCTGCTTTAAGTAAACAGGGGAGTTCTGCTTTAAGTAAACATGGTTTTGTTCTGATGGTCAAAGTACAGGTTCACTTCAACAACTTCTAATAGAACGCATCAAACCCAAATTCACCTTTTTTCCTAAACGCACATGAAGGCAAACCAAAGAGATCACTTCTCTTCAGAATCCTGGTATCCTGCAGGTGCCAGTAATAGACCCCATACATGTGCAGCATTGTTTCAGCATAATTTGTGCCATTTCCTGTGATGTATATGTGTGATGTAAATTCTTAGCGCCAGACAGCCAGAAAGTAGTCGTGATTCATGTGTAGTAATTTCATTATTGGAGTCATTTGCAGGGGTACAGCAAAAGGCCCCAGTGTGGTAGATGCTGTGCAGAGGTCTTCTGTCACACATGATACAATCTCTGTACAATCAAATTTAAGTCTACCAAAGCTATTGAATCAACTATCTAATCTGTTTGTTTCCAGTCAGGTAGAACCTTGCGCTACATACTTGTTGGTTGAG